GCTCTGCTTCTGTCTCACTGTTGTGTTCCTCCGTTGTCACCCTGTCACACAAGACAGTTTCTGCACACGTTACATAGACACGGTCGTTCGTTGTCACCATGAGGAACTCCACCCTGACAAATGCCATGCATGAAGTGGCTGCAAAGAGGCTGCGGGAGATCAGCAGCGCAGAGATGGAACAAAAGATGGAAAAAAGCAATAATAGATTTTAATTAAAACGATAAAAATTGTACATGATGCACAGAGCAAACTAAAGCTGGCCATACATTGTTCAAATTCCCATTTGCCCCCTCCTGGCCAACAGCCCTCGTTTGAAAAAAATCAAAAGAGCCAGGTGGGCAACAGTGACTACAGCCAATCAGATGCAGCCGCTATTGGGGTATTATGACAGCTATGAGGAGGGGGGGGTGACGGTCAAAATATAAAAACCGAAGAAGCAGATTCTTCCATCTGCATTGTGCAGCGTTGATGGAGAAATCTGTTCGATCTCCACGTGTGTCCAATTCGGGTTTACAGTCTATGTACTAAAACCAACGTAGACTCCACCCGGGAGAGAGAGCAAATCCTAATCCACGGATTGTCCCATGAAAGGGAAGGCTCCATTAGGCTCCCCGCCCATTATCGATCTCCTCTCCCCGCCTCGATAGCGGCGATCTCCTCTCCCCGCCTCGGATTATCGGCGATCTCTTCTCCCCGCCTCGGATTATTAATAAAAGTAAAAAAATATTTTTTTCTTTTTATTTTAATTTTTGTTTTCCTTTTGTTAGAAGATAATTTTATGTTCTTTTTTTTTATAAAAATAATTGTTATTTTTTCTTAACTATATCACTAAGTGTTATTTTTCCAGAATTTATTTTCTTTTAATATGTTTTTTTTTAAGAAAATATTTTTTTCTTCTAGGATAAAAAAAAAAAAAAGTAAAGTCTTTTTATTTTAATTTTTGTTTTCCTTTTGTTAGAAGATAATTTTATGTTTTTTTTTTTTTTAATAAAAATAATTGTTATTTTTCCCTAACTATATTATTAAGTGTTATTTTTCCAGAATTTATTTTCTTTTAATATGTTTTGTAAGAAAATATTTTTTTCTTCTAGGGAAAAAAAAAAAAGTCTTTTTATTTTAATTTTTGTTTTGATTTTGTTAGAAGATAATTTTATGTTCTTTTTTTTTTAAATAAAAATAATTGTTATTTTTTCTTAACTATATCAAGTGTTATTTTTCCAGAATTTTATATTCTTTTAATATGTTTTTTTTAAGAAAATATTTTTTTCTTCCAGGGAAAAAAAAAGTCTTTTTTTAAATTTTTGTTTTCCTTTTGTTAGAAGATAATTTTATGTTCATTTTTTTTTTTTGTAAATAAAAATAATTGTTATTTTTCCCTAACTATATTATTAAGTGTTATTTTTCCAGAATTTATTTTCTTTTAATATGTTTTGTAAGAAAATATTTTTTTTCTTCTAGGGGAAAAAAAAAAGTATTTTTTTTTTTTAATTTTTTGTTTTCCTTTTGTTAGAAGATAATTTTTATGTTCATTTTTTTTTTTTTTGTAAATAAAAATAATTATTTTTTTCTTTACTATATCAAGTGTTATTTTTCCAGAATTTATTTTCTTTTAATATATTTTTTTAAGAAAATATTTTTTTCTTCTAGGGAAAAAAAAAGTCTTTTTTTAATTTTTGTTTTCCTTTTGTTAGAAGATAATTTTATGTTCTTTTTTTTTTTTTAATAAAAAATAATTGTTATTTTTCCCTAACTATATTATTAAGTGTTATTTTTCCAGAATTTATTTTTTTTTTAATATGTTTTTTTTAAGAAAATATTTTTTTCTTCTAGGGAAAAAAAAAAAAAAAAGTATTTTTTTTTTTATTTTTGTTTTCCTTTTGTTAGAAGATAATTTTATGTTCATTTTTTTTTTTTTTTAAATAAAAAAATAATTAATTACTATATTGTTATTTTTCCAGAATTTATTTTCTTTTAACTTTATTAAGAAAATATTTTTTTTTCTAGGGAAAAAAAAAGTTTTTTTTTTTAATTTTCCTTTTTTAATTTTATTTTTCTTTTTTTTTAATAAAAATAATTGTTTTTTTCCCTAACTATATTATTTTTTTTTTATTTTTTATTTTTCCAGAATTTAAAATGTTTTTTAAGAAAATATTTTTTTTTCTAGGGAAAAAAAAAGTATTTTTTTTTTTTTTGTTTTCCTTTTGTTAGCAGATAATTTTGTTCTTTTTATTTTAATAAAAATAATTGTTTGTTTTTTTTTCTTAACTATATCTTTAAGTGTTATGTTTCCAGAATTTATTTTCTTTTTAATATGTTTTTTAAGAAAATATTTTTTTCTTCTAGAGAAAAAAAAAAGTATTTTTTTTTAATTTTTGTTTTCCTTTTGTTAGAAAATAATTTAGTTTTTTTTTTTTTTCCTTTTGCTCCCAGATTATGGGCAGTCGGGTATTGTATCCTGTCCAGCGGTGGACAATATTTACTCTTCCTGCGTACAATGCGAAGCGATGAAAGGCCGGGTCAGCTGTCATTGGGTGAGCTCACAGTACAGTGCAGAGCTGCAATACGCTGGAGGGCGAGGTGACACCCCGCAGCCAGGAAGAGTCATCACATCTCTCACTTTATAATCTGTGGAGAGAGAAGAGGAATTCAGTCGTACGCCGGGCGACCATCGCACATCCATCGCACATCCATCGCACGCCGACATCCTACCGAGGACTGCAGACGTCATACACAGCGCAATCCGCTCCGCTGATCACACACAGGTACACGGATCCACATCACATCTACATACAAGGAGAGCCGGGAAATCCCACACACATCTATGTACCGTCACACACACATACACATATATATATATATATATATTTATATTGTAAAGCGCTGAGCAAACTGTTGGCGCCATAAATCCTGAATAATAATAATAATAATAATAATAATATAAATCCTGAATAATAATAATATATATATTTATTTTTTTTAAAAAAATTTCACACAGCAGCACATACATCCAGACCGCGGAATATAAAGGAGAAATCAAAAACTCACAACGTAACATGGGACAAATATAAAACAGCAAAAACACACAAAGAAATACACATCACATAGAAATACACACAACATACATATACACATAGCAAAGACATGCACACAGGATACACGCAGTATAGCACACGCATCTTCGGAACATACACATAGGAAACTTGTATATAAAGCGTAGACATACACACGGTACGCACACACGTAGTTTACACCCACACGCGGAGTACACATAGACACAACATCCACATCTACGTGGTTCAGATATACATAGTAGAGACATACAAGTATCTTCGACCTATATGTGGTACACATGTACATGTAATACAGACATACACACAGTATAGAAATACACATGATATAAATATACACATAATATAGACATACCTACAGTATAGACAAAAAAAAAAAGACATACACACGGTATAGAAATACACATGATATAGAAATACACATAACATAGAAATACACATAATATAGACACACACATGATAAAAAAATATACACATAATATAGACACACAATGATATAAATATACACATAATATAGACATACCTACAGTACAGACAGAAAAGAAAAAAAAGACATACAGACAAATATACATACACATAATAAAGACACACATATTATAAATATAGACATAGTATAAACATACAAATAGTAAAAATATATACATAATATAGACACACACATGAAAAAATATAAAACATAAATAAACACACACATGATAAAAGTATACACATAAAAAGACACACAAAAAATAAAAGTATACAAATAATATAACACACACATGATAAAAAAAAATACACATAATATAGACACACACATGATATAAGTATACACATAATATAGACACACACATGATAAAAAGTATACACATAAAATAAACACACACATGATAAAAGTATACACATAATATAGACATACCTACAGTACAGACAGAAAAAAGAAAAAAAATAAAAAAAAAAGACACACAAATAAATATAGACATAGTATAGACATACAAATAAAAAAAACATATACACATAATATAGATATAAAAAAAATTATAGACCTACACATAGTAATCACATACACAGTCTAAACATACACATAGTAAAGACATAAACAGGGCAATATAGACACATAAAAAATAAATATACACATAGTACAGACATCATTTATACATTGTATAGAAAAACGGGCATAGTCTACACATACAAATAGTAAACATTTAAAATATTATAAAATATACACATAGAATAGACATAGGAAACTTAAAGAATAATACATTGTTGACATAGAATAGAATAAACAAAACAAATAAAAAAACATATACACATATACCTATAAATAGTAATCAACACAGTCCAAACATACACATATTAAAGACATACACAGGACAAAATAGACACATATAAATTAAAAAAAAAACACATAGTATAGACATAAAAATAGTAAACATATATACATCATATTACAGACATCATTTATACATTGTATAGATATAGACATAGTCAAGACATACAGATAAAAATATATACACATAGTGCAGACCGATACATAGTAATCACACACACACACACATACATAGTGCAGACCGATACATAGTAATCAAAAACACATACACATACATAGTGCAGACCGATACATAGTAATCACACACACATACACATAGTAAAGACATAAACAGGACAAATAAAGACACATATATATTATAAAATATACACATAGTACAGAAATAGACATAGTAAACATATACACATAATATAAATATACACGTAATTCAGATATACACATAATACAGACCGATACATAGTAATCACATACAGACATACATACACAGACAGTACACACACATACAGTCTTCCAGACACATGATGGAGGATGCGGTGGCGCACACGATGGAGGATGCGGTGGTGCACACGATGGAGGACGCGGTGGCGCACATGATGGAGGACGCGGTGGCGCACACGCAACCCTCAATGGGAAAAACGAACCACAATTCCTCCTGCCAAGGAGACCGTTTCCTGTCCAACCACAAACTGGAGAAGAGCACCAAGTCGTCCCTGGATGCCGACCTGATCCAGAAACTCCTCGCCAAGAGTCAGGAAGCCATAGGCTTTGCCTATTGCCCCTACAGCAAGTTCCGGGTGGGGGCGGCACTGCTGGCCAAGAACGGGAAGATCTACCTGGGTGAGTGCTCGAGGTGGAGGTGGCGTCATAGAGGACGTGGAGGTGGCGTCATAGTGGAGGTGGCGTTATAGTGGAGGTGGCGTTATAGTGGAGGTGGCGTCATAGTGGAGGTGGCGTCATAGTGGAGGTGGTGTCACATTGGAGGTGGAGGTGGCGTCATATTGGAGGTGGCGTCATAGTGGAGGTGGAGTCACAGTGGAGGTGACGTCACAGTGGTGGTGGAGGTGGCGTCATAGTGGAGGTGGCGTTATAGTGGAGGGTGGCGTTATAGTGGAGGTGGCGTCATAGGTGGAGGTGGCGTCATAGTGGAGGTGGTGTCACATTGGAGGTGGAGGTGGCGTCATATTGGAGGTGGCGTCATAGTGGAGGTGGAGTCACAGTGGAGGTGACGTCACAGTGGTGGTGGAGGTGGCGTCATAGTGGAGGTGGAGTTGGCGTCATATTGGAGGTGGCATCATAGTGGAGGTGGAGTCACAGTGGTGGTGGAGGTGGAGTCACAGTGGAGGTGGCATCATAGTGGAGGTGGAGTCACAGTGGAGGTGACGTCATAGTGGAGGTGGAGTCACAGTGGAGGTGACGTCATAGTGGAGGTGGAGTTGGCGTCATATTGGAGGTGGCATCATAGTGGAGGTGGAGTCACAGTGGTGGTGGAGGTGGAGTCACAGTGGAGGTGGCATCATAGTGGAGGTGGAGTCACAGTGGAGGTGACGTCATAGTGGAGGTGGAGTCACAGTGGAGGTGACGTCATAGTGGAGGTGGCGCCATAGTGGAGGTGGTGTCATAGAGGAGGTGGAGGTGGAGTCACAGTGGAGGTGACGTCATAGTGGAAGTGGCGTCATAATGGAGGTGGCGTCACAGTGGTGGTGGAGGTGGAGGTGGTGTCATAGAGGAGGTGGAGTCACAGTGGAGGTGGAGTAATAGTGGAGGTGGAGTCACAGCGGAGGCTGAGTCACAGTGGATGTGGCATCACAGTGGAGGTGGAGTCATAGTGGAGGTGGAGTCATAGTGGAGGTGGACTCACAGTGGAGGTGGAGTCACAGTGGAGGTAGAGGTGGAGTCACAGTGGAGGTGGAGTCACAGTGGAGGGAGCGGGGGGAGTTATTTTCAGACGCACATCTAATTTCCTGTTCGGTTATAGAAACATAGAAAAGTGAAAAAGACTGAGTGGTCCATCAAGTCTGCCCAGTTTTTTTTTTTTTTTGGGGGGGGGGGGTCTTTTTGTTTTGTGTGTGTTTTTTGGGGGGGTTGGGTTTTATTTATTTTGATTTGTTGGGGGGTGTTTTGTTTTTTATTTGTTTTTTCTTTTGGTTTCTATTTGTTTTTTTGAGGGGGTTGTTTGGGTTTTTTTTTTTTTTTTTTTTTTTTTTGGGGGGGGGGGGTTCTTTGTCTTTTTTTGTGTGTGTGTGTTTTTTTGGGGGGGGGAGTTGGGGGGGGTTGTTTTTTGTTTTTTTTTTCTGGGGTTTTTTTGGTTATTTTATTTTTTTTGGGGGGGGTTGTTATCCGGGGGGGGTTAATAGTTGCCGGCTCTGGATTTCTGCCTGCGGTAAGATGGCAGCTAACGCTCAGCAATCCCATCCAGAGAACGCTGCGGCAGGGAAATCTTCATCTACCCAATACTGCCCACACACCTTGCAATCTGATTGTACAATATCGTGTCAATCACCCAGACTCTGGAACACGTCTGGGTGAACAGTCCGTACAATCTGTATCCAATCAGGCGGAATCTGGGATGACGGGGAATCGGACGCGCGGTACACGTGAAGATTCGATTTTTAGTATTACACAGCTATTGGCAGATCTACAAATATTGTACAATCAGATTGTATGGCCGTTAATCATTGTAAGATTCAGCAGGCCTCTCACGGTGCTCCTTCTGCTTTATCCCGCAGGCTGCAACGTGGAGAACGCCTGCTACACCCTGGGGATCTGCGCCGACGCAACGCCATCACACAGAGCCGTGGCCGAAGGCTGCAAGCAATTCATCGCCATCGCCATCACCAGGTGACCCCGAATCTTCAAGCGCACGTCGGCGATTGTTTTTTTTTATTTGCTGGCAGCAGGGAAGAGTTGGCGCCCCTGTCGGGTCTTTTGTCCTCCCCCCCTCTATTAGTCCTGGTGTCACCAGTACAGGAAGTGATGGGGAATCCGGTGTCACCAGAACAGGAACTTCCTGTTGGGACTCTGGGACAGGAAGTCCAGGAGAATCCCGACCAATGAGACGCAAACCATTCCCGACTCCATCCGACTGTCAACCGGGGTGTCCACAGATGGATGGATGGACCCCATAGGAGTCCCGCCGATCCCTCCGCCATGTTTTATGGTTGTACAACAAGCGGTGACAATGTAACACGCGGTGCGCAGGAACCGCCCATCGGGAGATCCCCTGCCGGAACCTTCTGTGCCGCGATCTCACCGAATCCGAATCTCACAACAAACTGAAATAATGTAACCCGACGAGGAAGATCATCAATAGATCCATACATTGTAGCAGTATTGATCGTATCCTCCTCCCCTCCAGCCTGGCACAGGTGTACCGGCTCCTCCCCTCAGTCTTGCACAGGCATACTGGCTCCTCCCCTTCAGTCTTGCACAGGTGTGCCGGCTCCTCCCCTTCAGTCTTGCACAGGTGTACCGGCTCCTCCCCTCCAGTCCGACACAGGTGTACCGGCTCCTCCCCTTCCATCTGGCACAGGTGTACCGGCTCCTCCCTTCAGTCTTGCATAGGTGTACCGGCTCCTCCCCTCCAGTCTTGCACAGGTGTACCGGCTCCTCCCCTCCAGTCTTGCACAGGTGTACGGCTTCCTCCCCTCCAGTCTTGCACAGGTGTACCGGCTCCTCCCCTCCAGTCTTGCACAGGTGTACTGGCTCCTCCCCTCCAGTCTTGCACAGGTGTACCGGCTCCTCCCCTCCAGTCTTGCACAGGTGTACCGGCTCCTCCCCTGGACTGACTGGCTTCCTCTTATATCACCACACACTGGTAGCTCCTCACAATGTGCATTAGAAGCTGGTGCAGGTCAGGAGGTGGCGCAGGTCAGGAAGGTGGCGTAGGTCAGGAGGTGGTGTGGGTCAGGAGGTGGTGCGGGTCAGGAGGTGGCACGGGTCAGGAGGTGGGCGTAGGTCAGGAGGTGGCGCGGGTCAGGAGGTGGTGTAGGTCAGGAGGTGGCACGGGTCAGGACGTGGTGCAGGTCAGGAGGTGGCGCAGGTCAGGAGGTGGCGTGGGTCAGGTGGCGCAGGTCAGGAGGTGGCGTGGGTCAGGAGATGAGGTGGGCAGGAGGTGGCGCGGGTCAGGAGGTGGCGCGGGTCAGGAGGTGGCGCGGGTCAGGGAGATGACGAGGGTGGACCGGGTCAGGAGGTGGCGCGGGTCAGGAGGTGGCGCGGGTCAGGAGGTGACGCGGGTCAGGAGGTGACGCGGGTCAGGAGATGACGAGGGTCAGGAGGTGGCGCGGGTCAGGAGGTGGCGCGGGTCAGGGAGATGGCGCGGGTCAGGAGATGACGTGGGTCAGGAGGTGGCGCGGGTCAGGAGGTGGCGCGGGTCAGGAGGTGGCGCGGGTCAGGAGGTGGCGCAGGTCAGGAGGTGGCGCGGGTCAGGAGGTGGCGCCGCTCATCATTATGAGTATCTACAGGCCAGACGCCGGAGGAAGTGACACAACCTGGAAGTTTTCTCGGCAGACGATGAGTAATAGCGCTGGCTGCGCCCCGCGTTCCCTGTAGCAGATATTGCGGGGAGGGATCAGGTATTGCGGGGAGGGATCAGGTATTGCGGGGAGGGATCAGGTATTGCGGGGAGGGGGAGGGATCAGGTATTGCGGGGAGGGATCAGGTATTGCAGGGAGGGTAGCAGATATTGCGGGGAGGGATCAGGTATTGCGGGGAGGGATCAGGTATTGCGGGGAGGGGTATTGCGGGGAGGGATCAGGTATTGCGGGGAGGGATTCGGGAAGGGATCAGGTATTGCAGGGATGTAGCAGATATTGCGGGGAGGGATCAGGTATTGCGCGGACGTAGCAGATCGCACGCCATTCATGCGTCACCAGCCTGTTATACGCTCCGTTATGCAATTATTAAGTAACTTCCAGATGTGTTGTCACAGGCCGGGCTGACAACTGCTGAGAATTCTCCTTCAGGGCCGATGTAAAGAGAACCCGTCACCATTTTTATAAAATCCTTGCTTTCACCTTTCCCATCCTTTGTTGCATCTCCGGGCTGCTGATCTCCTGCAGCCTCTTTGCAGCCACTTCCATATGTCAGGGTGACAACATGCAAACACAGTTGAGAGGCAGGGATGGAGCGTTGTCACCCTATAACAGGAAGTGCTTGAACAAGTTCCTTCATGGCAGGATCACCAGGGACAACATTGGATCATGAATGTGTAAAGTCTGTTGAAATGGCTGCTTGTAGTCTCCATCAGAACTTCATATGACAGGGTGACAACGCAGAAACACAGCTGGGAGACAGGGACGAAGCGTTGTCACTCTACAACAGGAAGTGCCTCAGTAAGGACCTTCATGGCAGGATCACCAGGGACAACAGCGAGCCAGGCCTGTGTAAGTCCATTGAAATTGCCGCTCGTAGGCTGCATCAGAACCCCATGTCACACATTGGGACTTCAGCAATCATTTCTGATTGGTTGATGCCGGTCACATGATATGCAGTTTTCAGCCTTTACATTTATATATTTAGGACTGCTGATGTGGGAGGAGATTCCACCAATAGGCAGCACAGTGGGCGGAGCCTGCAGAGGTGTCGGGCTGGCGGCCCCCTTTAGTTTGTTTGCCAGTCACCTCCGTTCATCGGCTGTAAATGATTCCACAAAATCTGGGAACAAAAAAAGAAAAAGCTGACAAAGTGCGATTAATGATTAGCGCGGACGGAGGGCCCGGCCCCCACACACGGGGCCCGAGTCACCGCGGTTATCCATTAACTGGCTCACCCCGATTTCAGAGGTTATATAACTGACGGCATCTGTGCGTCTGGTGCGCCAAATATTCACCTGCGCGGCGGCCCTCGTTGTTCACCTCCCTCGGGGCCCCAACAGTAGCAGAGATTGTAGAGGGGACCAGGGGCGGACTGACAACTCATGGGGCCCCCGGGCAATAGGGGATCATGGGGCCCCTGTGTCCTCACCCACACTCAAACCACACCCAAAAAAGCCTATGAAAGGTACCAGGGGCATCCCATGGGGCCCCCTACTGACCCCTCCTGGAGGAGTTGGACTGCCTGTGCGACCTCTGTAGGGTCCAGGTATGGCCTCATGGTACCAGTAGTGACACTGACCCGAGCCAAATGCAAAACCAGTGAAAAACAGGTGTGTGATCTCAATGGAAGGCGCTGGGAACCCTCCATATCCCCAGTGAAGTGATACGCAGAGATGAAAGAAATCCTCCTACGTTGTTGTACCTGCTTATCTGCAGCCCTCTCCCCTCTACAGAGATTCAAAGTGCAGAATCTACACAGGATTTCTCAGCTCTGACAAGCAGGGGGCGGAGAGCTGAAGTTAGACCAGTGAGGAGAGCGCTGATTGGAGGGAAGGGACATGCCCCCCCCTCCACACAGCACACAGGAACAAAGCTGAGGTTGTCAATCACAGGCTGTGTCCTCCCCCTGTCACCATTTTTCTCTTGGTGGCAGGAAAACCAATCAGATGTGGATCATGCTGATAGCAGAAGAAGGAGGCAGCAGTTTTCTTTTCCCTCTGCAGAGATTTCCTCCCACTTCCTGTTGTGCCTCTGGGGCAGGAAATGAAGGGAAATTTACTAAGAGGACAAAAAAGAAGACATGCGGCCCGGTGTCGGGTCCCCCATTACTGACCTGTTTGTGTCTTTGCAGTGACGTGGAGGAGGAGTTCATCAGTCCCTGCGGAGCCTGCCGACAAGTCATGAGAGAGGTAGGTACACCCACCTACCTTCCCCATCTACATGAAAATGAATCCAGAATACACAAAAATTATAAACAGAAATGGACATGATATGCCTCAACTCATTGGTACCCCCGTTCAGCAGATCCCCCGCTCGTTGGTACCCCCGTTCAGCAGATCCCCCGCTCATTGATACCCTCGTTCAGCAGATCCCCGCTCGTTGGTACCCCGTTCAGCAGATCCCCCGCTCGTTGGTACCTTCATTCAGCAGATCCCCCGCTCGTTGGTACCCCCGTTCAGCAGATCCCCCGCTCATTGGTACCCCCGTTCAGCAGATCTCCCGCTCATTGGTACCCCCGTTCAGCAGATCCCCCGCTCATTGGTACCCCCGTTCAGCAGATCCCCCACTCATTCGTACCCTCGTTCAGCAGATCCCCCGCTCATTCGTACCCTCGTTCAGCAGATCCCCCGCTCATTGGTACCCTTGTTCAGCAGATCCCCCGCTCATTGGTACCCCCGTTCAGCAGATCCCCCGCTCATTGGTACCCCCCGTTCAGCAGATCCCCCGCTCATTGGTACCCTCATTCAGCAGATCCCCTGCTCATTGGTACCCTCGTTCAGCAGATCCCCTGCTCATTGGTATCCTCGTTCAGCAGATCCCCTGCTCATTGGTACCCCCGTTCAGCAGATCCCCTGCTCATTTGATACCCTCGTTCAGCAGATCCCCTGCTCATTGGTACCCCTTTCAGCAGATCCCCCGCTCATTGGTACCCCCGTTTAGCAGATCCCCCCGCTCATTGGTATCCTCGTTCAGCAGATCCCCTGCTCATTGGTACCCTTGTTCAGCAGATCCCCCGCTCATTGGTACCCTCGTTCAGCAGATCCCCCGCTCATTAGTACCCTGGTTCAGCAGATCCCCTGCTCATTGGTACCCCCAGCTCTGCTGATCCCCACTCAGTAATACCCCCAGCTCTCTGCTGCTCCCCCACTCAGTGCGACATTGCTAGTTTCTCCTGCTCTGGTCCCCCAGCTCTGCTGATCCTCTTCTGCTCAGTCCTCTCTGGTCCCCACTCACCTTCCGCTATAGCATTCCCATGTTGCCCACCACGTGTCCCCACCTGCTAGTTGCACCATTCCACTCTGGACCCCACACACCTTCCTGCTGCTCCACACTGCACCCCAGATGTGACCTCAACACTAATACTGACCCCACTGGTAATCACCACTAACCCCAACACTAATACTGACCCTACCACTGGTAATCACCACACCCCAACTAATACTGACCCCCACTGGTAATCACCACTAACCCCAACACTAATACTACATTCCCTACCACTGGACCACTACCCCAACACTAATACTGACCCTACCACCATCACCACTAACCCCAACACTAATACTGACCCTACCACTGGTAATCACCACCAACCCCAACACTAAACTGACCCTACCACTGGTAATCACCACCAACCCCAACACTAATACTGACCCTTCTACTGGTAATCACCACTAACCCCAACACTAATACTGACCCTACCACTGGTAATCACCACTAACCCCAACACTAATACTGACCCTACCACTGGTAATCACCACTAACCCCAACACTAATACTGACCCTTCCACTGGTAATCACCACTAACCCCAACACTTAAAACCTTTGCCGGGATGAAATGTCTACCTCTCACTAGGGAGATTTTCCATCACTTCCGATGCAGAGAGGAAGAGAGGAGAAATCTCCCCTCAGAGGTTCTGATCCAGGCAGAGGGGTCACCTGACGCAGGAGAAGCTCTGTGGCCTTGTCGTGTCGCACACTCTCACCGCTCTCCTCTTTGTTCTCCTTCCAGTTCGGGACGGAGTTGGAAATCTTCCTCACCAAGCCGAGCGGCTCCTACCTGCTGACCTCCCTCCACCAGATGCTGCCGATGTCCTTCGGGCCGGAGAACCTGAAGAATTAGGACTGATGATGGCCATCCTGTATATTCGCATTGTATATTCTGTTATTTATTGGACGTGATGACGTCACAGAAGGCGCGGGATGTCGTCCCATTGCTCTGAAATACATTGTAACTTTCACATACAAGATTGGATCAGACGGATTATTCAAAGAGTGACAGTAACCCAAATCAACCAATCAGAACTCAGGACGTATTTAAAGTGTATCTAGACCCAAATCAACCAATCAGAACTCAGGACGTATTTAAAGTGTATCTAAACCCAAATCAACCAATCAGGACTCAGGATGTATTTAAAGTGTATCTAGACCCAAATCAACCAATCAGGACTCAGGACGTATTTAAAGTGTATCTAGACCCAAATCAACCAATCAGGACTCAGGATGTATTTAAAGTGTATCTAGACCCAAATCAACCAATCAGGACTCAGGACGTATTTAAAGTGTATCTAGACCCAAATCAACCAATCAGGACTCAGGACGTATTTAAAGTGTATCTAAACCCAAATCAACCAATCAGGACTCAGGATGTATTTAAAGTGTATCTAGACCCAAATCAACATCCAGGACTCAGGACGTATTTAAAGTGTATCTGGACCCAAATCAACCAATCAGGACTCAGGACCTTTAAAGTGTATCTGGACCCAAATCAACCAATCAGGACTCAGGATGTATTTAAAGTGTATCTAAAAACCAAATCAATCAACCAATCAGGACTCAGGATGTATTTAAAGTGTATCTAGACCCAAATCAACCAATCAGGACTCAGGATGTATTTAAAGTGTATCTAGACCCAAATCAACCAATCACGACTCAGAATGTATTTAAAGTGTACTAAAAACCAAATCAATCAACCAATCAAGACTCAGAATGTATTTAAATTTTTTAAAAGCTTTAAATACATCCTGAGTTCTGATTGGTTAAATGTCAAACTGGTAAGCCCTCCACCTGTTGCGAAAGTCCCAATCATGCCTCTGCCTTTGGGAGTCATGACCCTTGAAACTGTCAAGCCTTGCAAAGCCTCATGGGACTTGTAGTTTGGCGACAGCTGGAGGGCCGCCAGTTTATTACCTGTCTAACCAATCAGAACTCAGGATGTAATTAAAGTGTATCTAAACCCAAATCAACCAATCAGAACTCAGGATGTATTTAAGACCCAAATCAATCAACCAATGAGAACTCAGGATGTATTTCATGTGACCTAAATCAATCAACCAATCAGAACTCAGGATGTATTTAAGACCCAAATCAATCAATCAATCAGAACTCAGGATGTATTTTAAAATGTATCTAAAACCCAAATCCACCAATCAGAATTCATAATTTATTTACCGTGTATCTAAACCCAAATCAATCAACCAATCAGGACTCAGGAATGTATTTAAAGCATATGTAAACCCAAATCAACCAATCACAACTGAGGATGTATTTTAAATGTATCTAAACCCAAATCAATCAACCAATCAGAATTCGGGATGTAATTAAAGTGTATGTAAATGCAAATCAACCAATCAGAACTCAGGAATGTATTTAAATTGTATCTAAACCCAAGAAGAACGATGATGTCACACATTACAGCGTCCCGCTCCTCCTCCGATGTGGCGGCTGCATTCGTTTTCTTTTGTCCTTTATTTTCTCGCGGCGATCCTGCATTGGGTGTGATTGCGGTGAGGACATTAGAGTGTCAGCTCTTGTGGTGCGAGTGGCTCTGCAGAAATCGATTGGATCCATATCAATAATAAATAAATAAATAAGATTGGGGGGGGGGGGAAGCATTTTGGAGCGAATGCCAGCGGCGACGGCGCGCCAAGTTTTGTGAGCGATGCTAAAAAGGGCCAGTAATTAAATCACACCATTAGGGGGCGCAGGCGTTCCCCTTTAAATTGCTGAACTTCCAACCAAAACCTAAATAAAGAGAAAAAATGGAGACTTGTGTCCTCGCCTTTCCGGAACTTTCCTTTCCCAGAGCATCTCCATGGCAACATATGATAGGGGGTGGAGCCACAACCCATCATAAGCCGCCATACATGAAGCGTTATCTGTGAAATGAGTTTTTAGTTCTGTTCGGCCGGTCTTGTGATCTGCCAGGCCGGTGACACGCCCATTTCCTGGCTCAGCAATGCCACTTCCTGTGTCACCTCCCCGCCCCCTCATCCTGCTGATTGGACAATCAATGAGAGTCGTCCTCTCTGCCCAATGACGATAAAATAATAAGTTTGGGAACTCAGGCACTGCCCGAGGGCCCGGGGTCAGTAGGGGGCCCCATGAGATGCCCCTGGTACCTTTCATAGGCTTTCTTGAGTTTGGGCAAGGACACAGGGGCCCCATGATCCCCTATTGCCCGGGGGCCCCATGAGTTCTCAGTCCCGGCGCTTGCGTTTCCAGGTGGTGCGTTTAAAGGAAGCCCGCCAATTTCATCAATGGAAGGCGCAATTTCAAAAACCGTGTTGCGACAATCAGCGTGGGGCTGCGAGCGTCGGCGGGAGACAGCAAGTTTTTATACGGTGCGGGAAAATGTGCGATTTCACAGCCATTCCTGCGCTGCGTCTGGTGTGAATAGTCCCTAAGGGCCGGTTCACACTCCATGCGTTTCAGTCGCTTTTTTTCTGCATCCAAAACGCACAGAAAGTTGGTGATCTGGTTGTCGGTGTCACTGTTCACATCAGCGCTTGCAGTTCCGGTGCGTTCCGGATGCAGAAAAAAACAGGAGGCATTTTTCTTGCACAGAACTGCACTGGGATGCAATGAAACGCATCAAAAACGCACCGGAATGCACCTATTTAAGTTGAATAAAAAGAGAGGGGGAAAAAAATAACTGGAAAGCATTTAAAAAAACACTGGACCGCGTAAAAAACGCATCAAAATCGCACCGAAACGTGCCAAAAACACAAAAAATGTGCATGCAGAAACGCATCTGGACTGCGTTTCTATGGTGTGAGAGCCGGTTCATACTCCATGAGTTTCAGCATCCAAAACGCACAGAAAGTCGGTGATATGGTTTTCAGATGCAGAAAAAAAAGTAGAACAGGCCACATTTTTTCCTGCACAGAGCTGTACTGGAACGCGGTAAAACGCATCAAAAATGCACTGGAACGCACCTAAATTGAAGAAAAAGAGAGGGGAAAAATGGACAGGAAAGCATAAAAAACGCACC